TAGCTGTGCCTGAAAACATTTGTGCAACTAAAATTGGCTTGTCACTCACAAACGCGCGATACCATTAAACGGTTCGATCATGGAAGAAGAATATTCGAAACCGCAACTTCGAAAACTTCTCTGGATTTCCGTAGGAAAATTTTGCTGGGACTTTTGTCGGTCATCTCCATAGTGTGGCGGATATTTGGTAAGAAATCAACAAGTAGTCTTGTTTAGCCACTTAGCAGAATTTTCGGCAGCAACAATTTTTAATAACAGCTAATAAGCGTTAACTACAAAAACATTTTCTGTAATACTCCAGATAACAGAATTTATGGATGTTTTTGTACTAAACAAAATAATAATATAAAACAAAATTTATACTGAAATGTCAGATGTTGTTCAAAAGCTATTTTAATTTACTTAATGATTAACAGAGATAAAAATTCCTGTTGTTCCATCGCTAAATAGTCAGTAAAGCCGCCGAGTAAGTTGGGCTTTCCCGTAAACTTTCACGAGTAACATTTCCAAAAAAACTCGTGCATCAAGCATTATTACAAAGTTTTAGTGGTCAGATTTTGTTCTATCTATATGAAGTTGTGTGAGCGCGCCTGCATTTGGCACACACAACGTGAACGGTTATCTCCTATTAAAATCTTTATTGCATTTATTTGCAGGTTGGGGCTCACGGCTGAATCTCTTCGCTGCGCTTTCAAAGACGTTCGAGGTAATTTCAGTGGCAATTTTACTATGTACTGGCTTCTTTGGATGCTATCTCATCTGGCGTTCCCTTCGGACCCTTCCTGGACCAACACGGCCTATCCTGTTTCTCTGGGAAATTTTACTGAACGTCGTGGTGTTGACGCTGTTCAGCACATGGGTGTTCTGGATCGGAGCTGCGATAGTCGGGATGTTTTTCTGTTTTTTCGCGGACAGCCCGGGAGGGGTTTGTGGGTTGGACGCGTCTGTATACGTACACGGCCTCATTCCGATACTGCTTGGCATGCTGATTATGGGGATCGCGGGCAGCGCTTCAAGGACCAGCTTGCGCTGCTATTCGGCTGTTTTGGAAGGAAGCATTTCCCTTACTATGCAAAACCGCATATTAGCTGTTAGTGCCAGGATGGAGGATCACCTAGAGGAGAATGCGATGATGCTGCAGGACGCATCTGAAAATCACATTCAGCAGTTTTCGTGCAATCCACCACCGTATTACTCAAACATGTAGCTCGGACTGTCTGACGTCACAAATATTGGAGGGTAGATAAAAATCTGGAAAGTACACTCACGTGCTTCTGATACCTAAATCCTGTGTAATATTTATATTGTATTTTTCCCACTTTTTCGTTTTTATCTTATTGATAAAAATTTCTTTGTTCATCTATTTGACTTTAGTCAGTCTTTGTTCGACACGGTTGCCGCTTTGTTGATGTTCTGACTGCGTGCGGAAACTGTCGTTGTATAATAAAGAATACAAGAAACAGTTTCGGCTTCGCCTCCGCATTTCTTGTGGTCTACAGCACAGCCGGCTTTATTGAAAGATTTATTGAAATCAGTCTTAATATTTCACAAATTTTCATTGTGATAACATGAATCAATCCTAATATTTATGTACCAGAAATTAAATTACAAACTCACACAAAGTTGACACTGGAACGGCTTGACGTCACTCGCTTACCTAATGAGCTCGGCAGTTGTATTAGGTCGAAAGGAATTTATGGGTCTAAGCAGGGCGCAATCCGAGGGAAACCGAGAAACGGCTGAAAAAGGCGCCGATGGGGGAATCAAACCCCGGCTACGTCGTTAGATCCGCGTAGGCAGCACCACTGCACCACGGCGCAATACGTTGAAATCCTTTGAAAGACTTTATCGCTGTACGTGAGCCGCTTCTCCGCTCACACCCCCCTTTGCAGCTTTCGCTACGTCCTCGTAGCGAGACTAAGCGATCCTTTTAAGCGGCGGCTCCGGGTCACCGCATCCTCCTTTCGTTTTATCTTTTTATTCGTTTTTGCTCTGTTCCTCCCGTTCGAGGTTAGCACACCAGTCTCATACCATAGGTCCGTGATCGAACCGTGATCTGCTACCATCTAAGCAGGGCGCAATCCGAGGGAAACCGAGAAACGGCTGAAAAAGGCGCCGAGGGGGGAATCGAACCCCGGCTACGTCGTTAGATCCGCGTAGGCAGCACCACTGCACCACGGCGCAATACGTTGAAATCCTTTGAAAGACTTTATCGCTGTACGTGAGCCGCTTCTCCGCTCACATGGGCTTTATGTCAGATAGGAGCTGCAATTTGGGATAGCATAAAGTTATTGCGATGTATGCTTCGGTTTGCAATATGTATGAACACTATCTACGCCATTAATCGGTGTACTTGCTAATCTGTTATCACAATGAAATTTGTGAACTAGTTATGAAACAACATAAACAAAGAAATATTCATTCAACAAACTCACTGATAGCATTGTTTGCCCTATCTGCTATCTTAACATTGCTCAGGAAGTTACCGAAACTTATTAACTTCAAGATTTGACAATAATGTGTTCAACAGGGCCTGGCAAACCAGTGATTTTCTAAACGCATCAGTTTTCTAACACATTAACTGCAGCGAATTTTCTGCTGCCCTTAGAAATCTGGTCATTTGTTAATAACAGTTTTTTCATGATGTCACAGACGCGATGGCTGATATTACCGTTCATAGCTTGTACTTTGTTTGCGAAAGTCAGCACCGCCTGGAACTGTAATTTCGAGGGCAGCGGTACATGGAGTGCGGAGATCTGCGACGGACTGCAAGATATTCGCAGCAACGATGTGGACTGGCAGCGCCATAAGTATGGACCAGCGCCAAGTTTTTCACACCAATTTAGCAAAACTGCGGAAAAAGCACGGATATCTGGAATTTTATTGCTTTTAGCTAGCTCCTGTTGCTAAACAAAAAAATTGATGTCACAGTACAGTTTCAGATTTTCGGTAAAATGAAATTTACAACAGCGGTTTTGAGTGTTCTTTCAGTATCCAGAATTGGCGGTTTAGCTATACTGATATCAACAGATCGTAGTGGTTCGTGGGATTAAAAACAAAATCTATCTTACTTTGTAATTTGCCACACAACCGCTACAAAGTTTTACTGTTTTTAATTTTGCAGAGGACCCACGTCGAGCTCATTCACCGGTCCAAACGTCGACCACACAACTGGCACTGCCGATGGTTCGCTGATGTCATTTTGTGACGTTCTCTCTACTTCAACTGTTTTATGCTTGCGCAGGTTATTATTTGTATGTGGACGGAAGTGACGGAAAAAAGGGCAACAAGGCAAAATTCCTGTGGAGTGTGCCCACCATCGATAATCAGCCGCAGTGTTTCACGATGTGGTACCACATGTTAGGAGCAAGTATGCCATCGATCGCTTATTTTATGCTTTTCATTGCAATAATATTAGCAATTCAGGAGAATTATTCCCCTTTCTTCGCTAGCACCCGGTATCCTGCGCGTATGGTTGCTCAAAGCCCAGCAGACCTGGAAACTTATCGAAGTGTCGAATCACACGAGCGCTGACTGGTCAATGGCCAGTGTCTCATTTACCGTTAGCCCTGCTATCTTTGATGATCCTGATGGAAGCCTTATGGTAAAACATTACAGCATCGCCAATATGCATTCTCAGTGTGCTTCAGTTATCTGTTAAGCACTGAACCTTAAAAGATACTTTGCAGCTCGTGATTGAGGCAACGCTTGGTGCAGGTTGGCAGGTGAGGTCACAAAAATCACTTGCTTTATCGTTTTCCTATCAGCTAGATGTGTCTGTGTGTGAGACACCCATACGTTTTACGATTTTCCGGAAGAAGCACTTGATGGTAGTTGCAAATCAACCAAACTGCCAAAGCTATTCTAAGGCTAAATACAGTGATGAAAACTAATACTGACCTTCCACGTGTGTATTACGCGGCGCAGTCGGATATAGCGGTGGACGATTTAGTCCTGGAACCATGCCGCGGCTCAGTGGAGTCCCCGTTAAGTCTTTCGCTCAGCACATCCGTGTATAACTATGGACAAATCAGCAGTTTCGTTACCATCACCCGTACGACACCGTTCCACTGTGACTTTGAATTCCATCACAACGACGAGCGGGGATGGTGCGGCTTCGAAGCCGACAACACCCACGACGAGTGGCAACGGGATCGCGGTGACGCCGGAATACCTGGAGTGGGTCCGGAGTATGATAATACTTTTGAGGACGACGTCAACGTGATTGGTGCCGAACGTAAGTTTAGTATTAAGTGAATGCCTTGAGAGCTGAGCGCCATATTTAATACCGGCGTTATGGTCCGCAATGTACATGCCAGAATGATTTAGAGGGATATTATTTATGGAGTGGTTGGATGCGCGGCGATGGGGTCGCCAACGTCGCCGGATTGATGTCACCCAGCTTCACCCTGGATAGTCCGCTTGTCGGTACGTACGATTTTTGCCAACAAAAGTTTTGGCGTTACTCACTGTGAATTAATAACCTTTAAAATGCTTCTGTACCAAAAATGAAAAAATCAATTACAAATTTTAGCTTGAATCAACCGGTCTGCGATATTTACACATATGCATAGTACCGATATTATCATACCAGGCTAAGTTTAGCTTTCTGCTGTTTACAGGGAATGAAAGACTGTGTGTTGTAAGTCTCACTAAACAAGAATCATAAAATCAACGTTTTGCAGAATTTCTACAGCAGTGTTTTGACTTTGTTGCAGTCTTTTGCGTACTTTCTCAAAGGATCCAACATTGGCAACTTAACGGTGCTGTACGGTGACGGTGCAAATATTAGCACCCTGTTTACGGTGGATGGAAGTCATGACGTGGAACCAAGATACTGGCGGGTTGCAGACACACGGATAGCACTCAAAAGCACCAGTTTCATGGTGGGATTTAAAATAATTTTTAATGACATGCCACCTTGAACGGCAGTGATTCTAGTGTTGCTTTACAGATGATTTTCCAAAATTATCACGGAAAGGGGCTCCTTCAGTCAATGGAGATCGCAATTGTAATTATTTAACATTATTTCAATTTATATTATGAAAACACCGAAGCAAGTTTGATAAATCTCTTTTTAGGACGATATTAAGGTCTATGTGTGCGATAACCAAACACCGTTTCCCCAGCCGGAAGCGAAGCCGTCAGCCGATGAATGCCCCAACGCTCTCTACTGCGCTGCGGTAAATTGCCTGTTTTGCATCCATCTAGTTTTCTATTGAAATAAGCCAAAACATTTCCGCTTTTCGTAACTATTTGTATGTTAATAGAAATGCAGTCAGCAATACATCGCACCAAATCCGGACAATGCACGAATTGTTCGTGGTAACTGCGCTGTAACTTTTTGATAAAGTCGTGCGAACGATGGAGTTACGTAATTATATATATATTCTTATATTACTAATTAACAGGGCAACCGGCAGTTCCGCATAGTTGGCCGTGGCAGGTCGGTCTGATGACAACCGCGTTCGGAACACCACTGAGACACGTACGCACAGATTTGCATTCACAGCTTCAACGAACCAGTCTTAAAAATCGAAATTTTATGTAGTCTTGCGGAGGTTCCATCATTCATCCGCGGTATATTCTTACCGCCGCCCACTGCGTGTTCGTATACCTCACCCTTTTTAATAAAAAAAAGTTGATAAAGTCAAAGTATTAAGCTATGGCGGTTTAGTTCGCACGGAACCAAGGAGAGCCACGTTGTCCGAGTCGGAGCACACCAAGTGGAATCCGTCGGACTGGAAGCGTCACAGGTCGACCACACCGTGGAAAGCATCCACATCCATCCTGGGTATGTGGTTATTACTGAAAGCAACGTCGGATGCTGCCACAATTACTGGAAACTTTACTGGATTTTTGAAACTTTTAGTGTCACTTTTTTTCACAATTGCAGTTGGGATGAGACAACTATACGCAATGATATTGCGGTACTGAAACTCTCCAAACCGATCCGGATGACCAAACGCGTCCAGCCGATCTGCTTAGCCGATGATGATGAGCAGCTGTTTCAGGGAGACACTTGCGTCGTCACCGGTAAAGCCTAAGGACAAATCGATATTTTAAATCTTCTGACAATATTCTCCTTCCGCCAGACCGTTAAATCAAAAGAGCAACTGACCAAAGTTGCATTCAGAAACTGATGCCCACTTTAGTCACAGGATCAAAGCCAGTTTTCTTCCAGGTTTCCTTTAAAAACCTGGTTTTGCTCTATATGCGTATGCTTTGTATGGATTTAATTAGATGCGCTTTCAGCATCAATACATATCGTGGCGGAAAGAGAATTTTTTCATAAACTGTGGTGCGGTCATCTACGAATAAAAATTTAATATTGCCCTACCTATATATTCGTATATTGCTGATAGGTTGGGGTGTCAACATCCCTTTCGACCATGATCCCAACGGTCCGACTCTGGAGCCCCGAACTGCCAGTCTCCGAGAAGTACAAAAGCTTGACAATTTCCTAACTATTTATGATAGCCTTCTGCAAACAAATAAATTCACTGGCTTTGCAGGCCGATGTGTACAAGCTGGACATGGAGCAATGCCAGGAACAAATCAATATGACTTTAGGAGGTGACAGAATATTAAGATTCAACATCAGTATTCGTTCTCCTCTTTTCACCCATGGCGTACTCTAGATGATCAAATGTGCGCGTATCATCCGGAAGGAAAAGACACCTGCAGCAGTATGAAATTATAAATGACACTAGTATCAGCTACAGTATAGACATACTATCTAATTTTGCGCGATGTGCATTTCATTTGCAGGTGATTCCGGAGGACCATTGATTTCCAAGAAGAAAGGCGTTTACAAACTCTACGGTGTGACCTCCTTTGGATATCAGTGCGGAAAGTACGCAGTCAGTTTTAGGTGTTGTTAATGCCAAAAATGCAGCGCATGGTTAATTGAATTATGATTGCAATGTTTCTGCTTTGGCAGGCCATTCCAACCAGCCGTGTATGCCAACGTGCCGTATTTTTACAAATGGATACTGGTATGTGATCACTCGAGTAGTGAGCGTAACCGAATACATCAGGAATTTGGCCCGGTACATAGCAACAAATTCGTGTACGTCCACGGGAACTTTCGCTGTCGCGCACTCCCAAACCCCTTGTGTAGCCAAAAAAATGTATTCCGTGTGAAATCCGTATGCGCGCGCAACATCCGGTTGCGGAGTTATGAGGGCCAAATTCGAAAATGTTTAAATGCATCCAGATGTACCGAAACTTTTATTATGAATCGATCTCCTTCAAATTTTGCCCGTAAATGCGCTTAACCATGAAGATCGTTCTTATACCGATCCACTGCTCTAGAATGTTTTTCAAATTTTAAAATGAATTTTTAAAATTTTAAAAATAATTTTAAAATTCGAAAAAATTGTGGAAGTGTGAATCCGTGTAAGAACGACCTTCTTGGTTATGTGCATTTACGAGCAAATTTTTAAAGAGATCGGCCGATACTGAGACTTTTGGTACACCTGAACGCATTTAAACTTTTTGGAGTTGTTACCCTCATAACTCCGCAACCGGATGTTGCGCGCGAAAATGGATTTCACGCCTATGTATATAAATCATTTGGCTACAAAAAACAACAGAGCAATGCAAAAATGTTTTGGACTGCGCGAAAGCGAATATTCCCGTCATGCAATATGCGCGAATTTAGTGCTATGTACCGGGCCAGATCCCTTAAAGCAGTGGCTCACTTTGTTCTTGATTTTCTTCCCGTAGGACATTATGGCTGAACAGTCTTTTACCGCTTCGTTAAGCCCAGAAGCACCACTGCCATGAAGAAAAAGAAGTATTACGGTTCCCACAACGAAATGTTAACAACGAACATATTTTTAAAAGAATGCATTATGAAGTACATATTCTGCTACGTACATGTACGTATATAAGGGGCGAAAGTAAACGCGTTCCACCGTTCCCCTGTACTGCTGCCGTCACCCGCCTGGAGTGTGACGTTACGGCAATACATATGGCTAAATCTGGCGCGGTACGTAAGCGCCATGTTCAGCCACAACGTCAAACTCCAGTCGGGTGACGGCAGCAGTACAGGGGAACGGTGGAACACGTTTACTTTTGCCCCCTATATGTATCTGTATATGTACATATACGTAAAGTTGATAATCCAAGAGCTGTCACCGAAATCTGAATCATATTCCACTTGATCGTGCAAATTTACTAAAGATTGCCAATTGTTTAAAGTCACAACAAAGGAGTATTCTCTTTTGTATGGAGCATTCTCCATACAAAATGTTAGCCTTGAAAAGCAATAAATAACAAAGCTGCCAAAAAACCAGATCAGCCATAACCAAAATAGTGTCCGAGTGACTTCTAACCCGCAAAACATTTCTAGAAGGCAAAGCATAGAAATATTCTGCAAATTTGGATGCACTTTGTGACACAGGCTAGTTCAAGAATTATTGAACAGTTGCATTTTTAAGTACAAAAACTAATGTTGATCACAGTAATCGTACACAGGGTATTGTAAATAGACCGACTAGGTCTACGCTTATTTTCTCACGTTTGACACTGCTTTTCATTCCACGCAAAATCTTTTCCGATACTGCCTTTAATGCTCTCAATAGCGTATGCTGTACTGGCAAGTGCGAAACGGATTTATTTTTACTTATTACTGTACTCAATCTCAACCAGAGCTGTTTGTTGCAAACTTAATTCGATTCATTTCTGTAAATGTTCTGCAAAACGATGATTTCCTGTAAATAACGCAAATTATAGTATGACATATTTTTTTCTCCGCAATTAATTCATGGCGTAAAGTCAAAGAATTTAGATACTGTACTCTCGGCTCAAGATGTCCCGGTTTTGTAAAGTATAGCCAGTCATGCACTGTACGCGGTTCAAAAAATTCGCTGAATCAGGTGAACATAAATCCACCAATAAGCGTGATTGGCTGTAATACTCGTCAAAGTAACGGCTAACGATCGGTTTTCGAGCGCGTTGAACAGTAACGGTTCAGTTTTTTCCGTCAGATTCACAGCTTAAACTTTCAGTTTCTTAAATCCTTTCCACGACGACAATAATGAATTTTATTTCGCAATGTCGAAAAGAGTTCAGCAAACTAATTTAAAATTTAAATCAAAACAAAAATCAAATTTGGGACTTTAAGTAAAAGAATAAGTCTGGCTTTCCAACGAACCGTCTGATTTCGATTACTGGAGTACCCAAAGAAGGGTTCGAGCTGTTCAGACGGTTCATTAGGCCTAAAAGACCGAACTCATTGAATTACGTGACGTCAGTATAGTGTTGCATGGAAAGACCATACAAAACGGAGACATCGTGAGTCGAGAGTACAGTAATATATTTAATATATATACACCATACTACTATGCTGCACTTTATTTTCGAACTTCGCAAAACTATCTGGGCAATCTAAGAAATCGAAAGGGCTTCTAACGAGCAAGAGAATGGAGGTGCGGCGGCAAACCGGCATAAGATGGAACGTCAGGGTGAACATTCATAATTGGCAAAAACAATACCATAACCGTTTCATGCACAAAAATAATCAGTTTTGCAGTTATTCGGCAGAATTATTGACCTTTTGCATCAGTGCAAGCCTTCCCAAATCCGGCGTTAGTATCAAGCTCTGGTGCGTTTCGAATCAATTTCACGCTGTGCTGAATAGTTTGTGTAGCATCACGAGGAAAACGAAGCAATCCGCCCTGTCATACCGATGTCAATACACAATTACTGATGTAATTTTAGATTACGCACTACGATGTTTTCTTCAACGGCTTTCACAGCATGGCTGTCATATTATACTTAACAGGAAGGTATTCTGTTGCAGGTATGTATGTATGTAGTACAAATTCGCGTAATCCGCAATTCTTATCTCTCTATAAAGCTCATTAAATCTGATTCGTTTGCTTTTTCAGTGGCCACGATCGCTGCTGCTTCGAATGATGCGGCTATTGGATTCTCCTTTGACCACCCAATACTATCCATGGAAACCGGCCCAATGGATTCGAATGCGACAAGGCCCCATAATGTTTCCTTCTTAGTGCCTTCCATCCACACCACGCGATCTTATACGTCACCCTCCACCACATTGTTTGGACATTCGCTATCAATCAGTCTGATGAGCACCGGAATATTGGCTTTCACTTTCAACGGCTTAGCGCTGCTCTTTACGCTGACTATCCATAAACCCCTGCGGACACCGTTTAACATGTATGTTGTTGCGTTAATGTGCACTAACGTCGTGTTCGTCTGTGTGGACCGGACATTACTCGCTGTCGCGGATACGTATGGGACATTGTGGCTAGGCAAATCCCTGTGCACCTTACGCCTGTATTCTCTCTACATTTTCGCCCCGTTTATCTACCACCACCACCTGCTCATCACCGTGAATCGCGCCTGGGCACTCTTCGGACCCATCTCTTACCGTAACCGGCATAATCGCACCGTCGCCGTCATGATGTGCGGCGCAGTGCTCGCGTATGTTCACATCGTCATGCTGGTTCCATTAATACGCGACCATCTCTATTTTCGTCAACCGCTGGAAAGAGGATGCTATCTCAATACCGCCCGGCAGTTTGCGTACACGCAGTTCACGTCCATCTGGATGTTCGATGTGCCGTGTGCGGCCAGTCCTGTCGCCTATCCGTTGCTACTGTGGAAGATGCTGTCCCTGCGACGGACAAGACCGGTTAATACCAACGCTGTACAACGTAGGGCCGAAGGGAAGAAGGAAGCGTTCCATCGCCCCTTTCGGCTGTTGACGTTGTATACGTGCAGTACCCTGGTATGCTGGGTGCCCAGTATGTGCTACTATAGGATTCTGAGTAACTTCCCAACGCAATCCGTTTGGGTCCCGACGTGTATCTTGTCATGTCAACTCTGTACAATGTGCAGTCTGTCATGGATCCGCTTTTCTTCTGCTTGACGGTCGGCGATGTACGGAATTATGCGTGTCGACTCTGCAAGGGGAGCCGATAATAATCCAATCGACGTAACTGGCGGCACCCCCGCCCAACCAAAGGCAGCCACGTAAAGCGGATAGAATCCACGCGCAGCAGCTATTTCGTCGTCGTTGTCACTAAACGCATGCTTCAGGAGCATTATACTCGCACAGAGTAACTAGTCACTGTTTTACTGCTTCATGTCTGTTTTCTGTACTTGTATCACCATTTTTTTCCTGTTATTTTTCGCTGCTGTTTTTCAAGGGGGGAGTGCATCCGATATGGTACCGGCATCAAAATTTAAGTTTTTAATAGGATTTTGTGCATATGACAACAAAGATCGGCTAACAACTTCCTGTACGATTTGTACACTGGGATAGGTAGTTTCAAAATGATATCTTTATAAAATTTACCATACAATCTTACTGACACAAAGCATAATTCCGCGGATTTTTATGGACAAATCAACGCGTGGTCGGCTTAGCTTTGAAAAGAGTCTTATAGCATTTTCCACATGTACTGAATATTAGCTGTACCTAGCAGGTTCAGGTTCCCAAAAATCTTCCAGCCGGTATAAGTATAAGAAAACATATACAGTAACTCCATGATTGAGTTCTCAGGACAACGGGATCGTTCAGAAATTTCGTTTGGAGCGAGCTACGAATAAAGGGTTGAAAAGTGATATTGTACGTATTCATTTCAGTTTTTAACAATACTACAGCCTCAACCCCCGCGAAGGTAGATTAGTTTTCCGCGATACGAGTACTGCAGGTGTGAAGTTTATACAGTAGATGATTCCTGCAGGGTACTAGCGTAATGATTGCGGATGCATGACAACAACGAGGTACAGAATTTTTGTTATTTTGTGTGCTTTTAATGAGGCTAAGGAATAAAATTACTGTAACCATGGAAGTATGATCATTGTGTAGGGGTACTCGTACTGGCACGGTCCGTGCGTGTGCAGTCCTACGGTCTAAAGTCTTCTAAACATCAACAATTATTTATTTATTTATTAAAAGTGAAAAACAGCCAGTGGTCACAGGACGTAAAAGAAAAGCATGTGTGGTCGTCAAATATTAGTATCCGTCCAAGAGGACAGTGCCGACGCAGGTACGAACAGGTACCATATAAAGGTATGTACTGGTACCAAATCCAAATAGTTTTCAATATTTTAGATACATTTTAAACCTCATTGATTTTTGCGCAAGCCGGTAATCGGCTGCTTGCGTGAATTCTAGCTGGACCACAACGGTGCGGCATGATATGAAACCAAGGAGCATCTGCAAGCTGCCAAGTCACGTCGATTAACCGACGCAACAACAACCTGCTCCTCTAAAGCGACGGAAATGTTATTCTCACATGACAACCTACCGTGGATGGAACTCGTTGGCAGCATCTACTGACTGCAGTGAACATCAGCCGGTTACATTTGAAGCTACATTTTACGAGTATTGCATTGCCTAAGTAATAAGGTACGTAATCAATACACGATTCACACGCGTATTCACACTGTGAACTGTGACGTCCTCAGATTTCAAAAATCTGAACCGGCGCACAAAATATGCAAAATGTCATTAATTTTTGAACTGAGCGGCAGCCAGTACCACTTTGCGCAAATTCCGTACTCTTCAATGACAATATAGCAGTGCAAACGTGAACCGTCGCAAATGTACTTTAACACGAGAACGGCCCATATTCTATCCGCCCTCTTATTGCCCCACATCAGTTACCTTCTGAACAGTGTCTAGGCGCGCATCTCTTAGGGCCACCGCACCTTTCTGATTTTTTGTGCAGTTACGTTGTCGCTCAATCTTGAATTTTCAAATGATCGGCTGTTTTAAAGAACTTGTTCTTCTGTACCTGTAGTTTACCGTAGCGTCTTTGAAGAGCAAGTGCATTATGTAAGCGTATGACCTTAATTAAATAATGGTCAAAAAGGAAACGTGCAAAAGAACTGACAATCACCGTAGCCGTTTTTGGTCACAAATCACAATCAAGGTGGCGCATTTATGTAGTTCGCTGTAATGGCGCACCGGCCCATATAATCAGATCACCGCCTGGAAAGCCTTATTTCCTAAATTCATCATTAAAGAAAACGTTAAACAAAGTTGTCGAGTTGTTTCAACCAACAGCCGACAAAGCCATGGGTATGGATGGGTATGCGGTAATTCCAATTGACAGCCCATATTTAATTATTTAGGACATCAATTTTTAACATTCAGCACAAAACGTGGGTTCCTGACTGCCGAAACCTACTAAGGGAGGGGTTCAAGGCAGTGGAAAGCTTAGGCCCAAGTAGTTTGCTGCACAGATTGAAGAAAATGTTTCAAACTTAATCAAACATCTTTTATAAATTCAGCAAAATTAATGAGATATTGAGGAATGGATGGAAGGATGGTGCGTATGACCCCAATGCACGAAAGTAGATCATCACGCAGCTGCGGGGTAATTTAATTTGTGACACTGCTCAGCACAATGCCGCCCACTTTTTCTCACGCTGGCAAAGGTGAGAAATTTTACCGAACACAGCCGTTACGCAGCGCGGGTCTTAGTTTGCTGAAGAATAATGGCTAGTAGGCTACCGCTTGAACAGACAGGATTCAATCCCGCGGGGTCAAATTCAGCCGAGCAATAGAGGAGCAATGTTACCTAATCAGGAGACTGTAACTTTGCATGGGTGTACGAAATACAGACTCTGTACTACTGGCAAACTGCCATTCATCTGCGACGATCTTGAATTGATTGCTGAATACTGAGTTCGTCTTTGCCTGCATTAATCTGCAGGCCCCATCCGCATCGAACACCGAGTCGTTCGCTCCCCTTTTTCATATCTTGGACGTACTCCTCCGCCACCGCAAAGCACCACAATGGTTCTTTGGGTTCTTTTCTGATCTCTAACGTATATTCATCGGCACAAGTGCCGAAAACTTCGTTGGCCACTCAGCACCTGGCTTTTAAACCGACTACCGCCGCTAATGGATCCGAATACAACAACGTCTCAGAATCTATCCGCTCTATCACTGCCCCATATCAACAAAGCAATATCATTTCCACGGCCGTATAACACAACGTTTGAGCAGTCGGTATCAGTCAGTCGCATCGAGACACTAACCATAATGATCAATCCGGTGGCGCTCCTTTTAACAGTATCCCAGACCTCACTGCGCACACCTTTCAACATGTACGTTGTGGCCCTGATGTGCAGCAATCTGGAGTACGCCTGTGGAAGCTCTACATTAATCATCGTCGCGGACGCATATGGGACCTACTGGCTAGGCAACTTTCATTGCACCGTCCGCCCGTATTTTTTATATGTCGTCGTTCCAATGATTTATCACTACCATCTGCTGATCACGCTGAATCGCGCCTGGGCACTCTTCGGGCCTATCTTCTACCGTGCTCGGCATAACCACGCTGTGGCCGGCATATTGTGCGGCGCGGTGGCAGTTTACGCGCATGTGTTTATGTTGCCGCAAGTGATACTTGATCACGTGTACTATCGCCTACCACTGGAGAAAGGCTGCCGACTGAATCTCGCCAGTCAGTTTGTTCTGACCGAATTCACGAGTATTTGGATGTTCGACGTACCCTGTGTGGTGATTTATGTCGCATATCCATTCTTGCTGGGGAAATTGTTGTACCGTCGACGGACTAGACCGGGTACTGCTACAGCACAACACGAAGCTTTCAACCGTTCGTTCACACTGCTGACGTTGTACACGTTCAGTTCCCTGGTGTGCTGGCTTCCGAGTATGTGCTACTATACTATCCTCAGCAATTATCCATCGGTTCGGATGGGACCCGTCGTATTGCAAGTCACGTCGACTCTGTACAACCTGCAACCGATCCTGGACCCGCTATTCTTCTGTCTCACCTTCGGTAACGTGCGGCATTGTGCACTTCGACTGTGCTGAGGCAAAAACGATATTCAAGTCCAGAACAGTGCACGCGCTTCCTAAAACAGCGGGTTGCGCAGGCGACTGCGCATGGTGTTTCAGTGTTTCTTAGGTTATTTATTCATTATAATTCTTCCTCCCGCTGGCATTTTAACGTGTAGGCTGGCTTTTGTCGAACAAAATCATATCCAGTCCCAATTTCAAAGTGCAAAACTTGGATGTATAAACTTACATTTTTGGAGATTTTTGGCTCGCATGAACAATCGACGTGGCGCTTTCGATTCGCTGTAAAGTATGAAGAAAACGCATAATCGCCTCCAAAGCTGTAATCAGTAAATTATTCTCAGAGAAGAAATTCAAAGTAAGTTGTACCGTTAACATTAATAAATTATTTACGTTTCGACGACATTAGACGTCTGTATGGGCTCTGATTACCAAAAGCAATGCAATGGAAACGATCAGGCTTGTTCGCATGATTATTCGAAGAAAATGTTATAGATTAAATCGATCAGGTTATACAAATTCGGCGAACGGTTAACTGATGGAAGGATGGAAGGATTTGTGAATGATACTCACGCAACAAAGAGATGATCACGCAAATCCAAGCCTAACTAATTTATACATAGCATTGAAAGGTACAATGCCAGCCGCGTTTTTTTCATCACTGCAATGGTGAGAAATGTGACCCTACCATTGCCGTCATGCAGCGCGGGCTACGACTAAACTGATAAATTATGTTTATTGCTACAAGTAGAGACCTTTAAATGGCAAGCCATCTTTAGAGAACGACGTCATACCTTCAAGTGGTCAAGCTTGAATTATTTTGCGCCATAACCGTCTTTCTTTCAGTTCTTATTTAGCACGTATAGCTCGACTTGTCCTTTACAGATTACTTTAAAATTATAAAATCGGTGGGACCGTTTTTTAGTTACACGTTGTAAAATACCAGTGACAAAACGCTGAAGTCACGCGCCCCCAGCCATTGCAAAGAAAGCAGTAACGGTTTTGGCTGTCTTATTTGACGAAAAAAAGGTAATTCGGCCATCGACACACATATTACCTTCCTCGCGACATTCGACAAACAGTACAATGGACGACAAAAAGAGATTAAAATCGGCCAGTCGGTCAGGTTTTAAGTCAGCTATAAACTGCCATCGGATCGTTCGCAGCTTGAAAAAACAGAGAATGACGAGAAACGGGAAGGGAGAACAATTTCTGATAATTATCAATTACGGAGTCTCCTGCGCAGCAAGTGCAGGAAAATTTAACTGATAGGTAAATATTCTGGATTATTCTGGAAATAAGAAAATAGATCGGAATGAGAAAATTTATCCTCTTGACGCTTTTGGGTGAAAAATTTCAAATTCCGGTTTAAGGCCATAGCTGCAGTAAACTGCAGTTACAGTAAAAGGATAGGCATGATAAGCTGCCACTGGCAATGGCATGTGCCATTTCGCAACTGGCAAGCGATAAATGAGGACAATTTTCAGAAATGCAGAAACAATTAACTATGATTCTGCCACCAAGAAATCCATTCTAAAACAAAACAGATCTCCATAGCAGAGATACCACTTATCTATGGTTAACCCGACCCTAAGATCTTTGTCTTGTACTATGCCTGCCAATGTAATAAACATCTGCAACGCCAAAAAGTGGTCTTGAATTGAGCTATGTGGTAGAGCGCCCTTCGTTGGGTAAACATGGTAAATCGCCGTGTTTCTCGTTGCGAAATTTGTACCCAGTTAGTTATTTAATCTTCCTTACTGCACTATGAACGCGGTATCCTGGCAGTTTGCTAGTTGCCACGTTTTATGACTAGCCAGTAAGCTGCCAGTTAGAACTGCTAATGGCAGGTGCCAGTGCCACCATTTACTCCGTACCAAGATGCAAACGACTTTCATTTCTGACAGATCCGGTATGAGGCTAATCGTAGGGATAGGCCGAACACAGAAGTGCAACAGCCACCACCGTCTGAGATTTCCCGAAGGAGTACATGATTATGCTGCTGTGTCATGTTTAAGAATGATGTCAAAAACGGGAAGGGATCGGCAGACTTCAAATCCTAATTTCCTGATTCTGAATTCCGGAGGCGGAAGAGTTCTTTAGTTTCTTCAATTACAGAGCTACTGAGGTTTGTTGCAAGCAGAAAAACGTGCGAAAGTTAACAATGGTATTCGCGCCGAGTAAGCCTAAACGCCTAAATGGCTGTGACGGCCATATCTCTTTGGTGCCAAGTGAACAGCTTATGTTGCGTTGTACCTCGTAACTGCTATTTTAGCGCGCTTCATACCTTTCATCATTATTTTGTTCTACTTTTCTTATCGCCCATCGTTGTTGTTTCGAACAGCGCAAACACTGGATTTTATTGGCCAAACAATATTAAGAGGTGAAGACCATAAATGGATTCCAACGCAACAACTGATCATCATCTGCCGGCCATCACGACGGCCCATTTCAACACCTCGCAACTGTTTTCGCCTCTGTTCAACGCATCGTTGGGACGACCAGTATCCGTCAGTCTGCTAAGCAACAAGATATTGGCCGTAACGTTGAACGCCTTGGCGCTGGTCTTAATGTTGACTAAAACGTCACTACAGACACCGTTCAACGTGTACGTACTGGCCTTAATGTGCAGCAATGTAGCATTTGTGGCGGTGGATTATACCATAGTTGCAGTCGCGGATGCGTACGGATGGTTGCGCCTAGGCAATTTCGTTTGCACCATGCGGCTGTATTCCTTATACATACTGCCCTCTCTGATCTACCATTATCACCTGCTTATCACGTTGAATCGCGCATGGGCGCTCTTCGGGCCAATTTCTTACCGTGCCCGCCACAATCGCACGACGGCTGCAGTTATATGTGTCGCCGTGGTCGTATACGTGCACCTGTTTATGCTGCCGCAAGTAATACGCGATGACCTATACTATCGTTTACCGTTGGAGAAAGGCTGCCGGCTCAATACCGCCCGCCAGTTCACTTGGACAGAATTCACCAACATTTTAATTTATGATGCACCATGCGTGAGCATCTTCCTCGCTTATCCATTTTTACTTTGGAAGATGTTGTCGCGGCGGCAGATAAGACCGGCTGATAGTACCAACGCCGAGCAGCGTCGACTGAAAGGGACGCAGGAATCTCTCCGGCGACCGTTTATACTGCTGACGCTGTACACGTGCAGCACCATGGTGTGCTGGCTTCCTACTATCTGCTACTATACGATTCTAAGCGGTTATCCCACTGTGCAACTGGGTGCCACCTTCTATCAAGCCCAATCCATCCTGTACAATCTGCAATCGATCTTGGATCCCTTGTTCTTCTGCCTCACCCTGGGCAATGTGAAAAAGTATGCACGTCGACTTTGCAAAAGACATAATGCAAATCAATTTAGCCACTTTTCTGGCACATTTCATCTACCAGCCTCTCGAGCGGAAATCACGGAGAACACCAACGCAGTAGCTACGACGACGGTGTAGCATGACGCGCATTTGAATTTTCAAGAAAGCTAGCACCATGCACAGCTATTGTCAGATAATTACGAATTGATCTATTCGATGTTTTCGGTTCCCTGCATGAAATATGGAACCCATTAAAAGCAGATACACTGTAAACTAAAGGCTGTATGCTTTGTTCTGTTATAGCTGTGACTTGTGAGAGCTGGGAAGTATAAATATTGGTCCGATCAGCATAACTGATTTTACTATTTGCGACTGCATATACTTGACTACAGCGTATAGTGGCCGCTCACAGCTGGGCAAGCCAGGTACGTCTTCAGGATGGAAGACATTATTGCGCTGAATTTCATTATAGTACTTCAGTTTCAAAATTGAAGCACTGCGAGATCGACAAAAAGGTAATAATGCAGTTTGTTAGCGCCCGTACCGCTAACAAATCTAGGAGCCAGGAGAATCATAAAGTTGGTAAGAGCAAACACGAATCAGGAAATTCAGAATCACGGGAAACAATAATTAGTATCGCATTGCACATACTAGTGCATTTTGGTAAAATACTTATGCCATAGGTCATATTCGTACCGCTCTCGTTCCGTACACGCCACAATCGCACCACCGGTGGAGTATTGTGCCACACCAGGTCGCTTTGTTCGATCTATATACGCTGCCGCAGCTGATACGCGATTACCAGTACTATGGTCTTCCGTGAACGAGAAGCTAGAGACGCTGACTGGATTCATGTCTACTGATTTTCGACGTGTCGTACTCGGGTCCTTTACTGAAGTCGCTCAGTGCCCTTACTAGGAGCATTTGGTCCCAGCGCTGGTCCCAGCGCTGGTTTCTTACCAAAGTGCGATGAGTATGTACTTCATTAATCTATATCCGTTGAAGTCGGGTGGTTTTTGCCGTGCGCGCGGAATATCGTCGTTTTGTGGTTAGTTTCAGTTTTTACCCTGCATTACACTGCTGTATCTAATCGTAATTAAGAAGCACTTTTGAGGCTTATGCAGCGCAAATGTAAAGGCGGGGCATTTGCGACTACTTTATCAAGAATGGACTGCCGCTTCGCGAAGCGGGTCTAAAAACTGTTTCTTCCTTTCGTGTCGATACAATCTGCTTGTCCACAGTTGTTGTTTCCACAATTATTTTGCGGGAACACATACCGAGAGCGATGATGGCATGGTTGTAGCACACATGCGTTATTAATTTTTGATTCCTGGATGTTATCCAAGGTAACCCATAGATCCTATATTTATATAGATACAGAACCATTACAATATTATCGATCCAAAGATAATCTGATAACTCTTGGATCGATAATGATGAAGACTCAGAAGAGTGCACTTATAAATCCCCGAACGGCAATGTGCAAACAACAGTCCGAGGAAATAAAGTTGTCAGCAAGTGCCGCTGAGTGGCATCCATGGCCATGCCGGCTGCACTTTACATCCATACTTTTCGCTCGCCTGACGCCGTTTATCTCCGTCGCCCAAAATTGTTGTGAACAGATTGTGATTTTGCTGCTGACTTGTAATTACGAGCACTATTCTGGTCTTGAATAACGGTTTTATTACCAAAGAGTGAAACAGTGCTTTATACAGCATTCGCATGCTGTCACCCAAAATCCTTTGGATCTGCCGCTTCTCTCGTCACTCTTATTCCTACAATGCGTTCCTTCGTCAATACACAGCTGAAGTCTTTGAAGAACTGGATGTCATCAGTTTCTTTCTGGAATGCACTGGCTCAGCCAAGTTTGATCGCGGCATCTGCTTTCGGCGTTTTTCGCATTGGAACGAACGACGGCAGAACCGGTGTCCGCGTCTTCTCCGTAATCTGGTCGGCGTTCTACATCGTGTTTTTATCGCTGTACATCGTCGCCCGCTTCGCTAACCGTGAGTCCGGTCCGGTGGAAAATTTGCAGGATTTCGTGGAAAACGTGTGCCTCTATTACGTCGTCGATTCGCTCTTTTACCTCAGCATAATTCTCTACATGAACGCTTCAACCAACACCGGCGCCGTTCTGCAGCAAATCGTGCCGCTCATCCATAAAAACGCCGCCACCGCGGATGGGGGGTTGGTACTGGTGACGGTGACCGTTATCACAGCTTGTCTATTTGTGCACATAGCGCTGCAGATTCGCATTATCGCCGCCGGCCAAATGGTCGTCGCGAAGACCGTCGTCGATTCGCCGGTGTTACTGGCGCTGTCGTCTGACCGCAGCCACCGATATTTTTTATCGTGTATCCTGTACATTGTGCTACATATGCTTCAGATCGGCATTCATTCCGTCAATCAGTTCTTGGCATACATTTGCGTTGCAACCGCCGTGACCTTTAGCCGACTGAATGTTGGTCTACGGAACAAGAAAACACGAGATGGCGCACTGCGCGATGTGAAGAATTTGCGACAACGTTTTCTGTCGCTGGCTGACCTTTACGGAATGCCGCTGGCGCTGCAGTGGTTGCAGGGATTGATCTACTGGGTCTATGATCTGCTGCTGGTACGCGGAACGCTGCCGACGATCGGACCTGCGCTAAGTGTTTATATGGGCTTTAGTCTGGCCCATCTTACTTTGACGGTGGGTGCCTCCATCGCCTGTTACGATCAGGTACAGATGACATCGTTTCGCTTATGTACTCTGTGCCTAACAAAATAAACCACATAAATCAACCTAGGACTGAAAGAGCGTCGAAAACTTCCATTTGAAGCGTATTGTGCAAACAAGCACTTTTTCTGTTTAACAAATCTTTTAAACAAAGATCGATTAAACGGTTTCTGTTATTCGTCGTCCAAAATTTCGCTATAGTGGACTGCAGAAAGGTGTTACACTTATGTAACTGTAACCACAAACCGCGCGCATCTAGGCTCTCTCCTGTATCAACCAGGCAAATCCGGGACTGGCTATTGGCCTGCTGGTATTAACAAATGCACTTTGCGCATTTCCCAACGGAAAACATCAACCGATATCTCAAACGAAAGAGAGAATTTTAATACCAAACGAGGTTTTCTTTATGAGATGTAAAGGTACCTAAAGTGTTATGTATCTAAAGTTTCTCGTAGACATCGCACATAATTTGAATCCACGGTTTAATTTCAGTTTTTACAAAGAAGTCGTGTGCTTTGTCTAAGACAAGCTTCAGTGGCTCGATTTTCTCTTAGATCTCTTTAAAAACGGCCTATTTGGTACCGAAATTCGTGAAATTTTTCTGTCTTTCGTTTAATATATCGGTTGATGGTTTTCGTTGGGAAATGCGCAAGGCGAAAGTGTTAAGTGTCAGTCAGTTACTAAGTTAATAAAACGCACCTTTACCCTGTGCCTGCACTTGCAGTGCTCTGTGCCCTCAGTCGTCCCATAAGAAGCGGCTTTTCAAATAAACAAACGGCTTTATTCTCTGATTAAAGTACCCATCGGCTTCGCCATTGAAATTTTAGCCATTATTCAACTGGTCTGTCCGACTATTTGTTTGGCGAAGTGGGGAGCAGAAAGGAATTCTTATGTCACACAAACGTGAAACAGCCATGATGGTTGGTGCTGAGAGATTTCTGGTTGACCGCAATTAATCGAGCGGATCGAAGTGGCATCACAGAGTTTGTACACAAAACATTAGCACGAGTGCAGCGTGCATATCCTCGTGCGCTCCGGAGAAAAGCACACGCTGCGAGTGCTGATTTCCCGGAACAAACTCTGTGGTGCCACCTGTTGAGACCGCTACAGTATTTTTGTGCAGGCTAAAGGCTTGGAGACAGTGCTGGAAGAGATTCTGGAACAGGAGAGCGAGCCAGCGCAGCGGAATGAACTGCTGTGGGAGCAGCATAAAGCACACAATACCAGCGTTGCGTTGCATCTGGCCGGCTGTGTGACGCTGGATCGCCAGTTTGTTTTATCGGTACGAATTGTGTCGAGTCTCGCTAAGAATGCCGACTGCGTTATTGACTTGTGGCTGCATAGGTGCTAGGCCAGATTACCACTTACATCATTTTGATCTGGGATGATAAGGGCGGCGGCGCTTCCCGCGGAGGTAGTAACGCGATCCCCGCCTACTTTGGCAATAACACCATAACCGGCAACTTCACCGGTGCAAAAGTAGGATAATGTTAGTTTTAAATGAACTTGTGCGGTGTTCTTCGGACTTACAAAGTCTCTGATAATAATAATAATAATAAAGAAGTTTATTGTCCTTGCAACGGAGCGGTTGCCCTCTCTAGGCTTCAGACAGCAGAACAACATCAAGTAATTACACCACAAAATGACGCTAACATGGAGAGGTGGTACCATAAAAACATGAATATTATTATGACGACATGCAAAATAAACAAAGCAGAACAAACAACCATCAGTACAAGAAACAGCACAGCTAATGCTTTCTATGTATGAAGTAATTCGTACGGTTGCGATACGTTAATGTTAATGTGGAAAAAGGGAGGGAGGCGATTGCACTGGGGTCGATGCTTAAATTACAAATTTCTGAAAATTTTTAAAATTGTTGTTCAAAATAAAACCGTGGGAAAAAGGAAAGTAAGGACACTTACGCGCGTAATCGCCGTCTATATTGTTTCAACTGAATCGCAACCGTTGAGATAGCAGGTAATAAGAGCGATGTCAAAACATAACAAAGAATACGAAACACAACGAGTAAAATCATTTTACATCAAATGGTGGTCAAGTTTTTTTTTACAGAACGACATTGCTTCATAAACAGTTTTTTGACCGATGGCAAATTTTTCCATTCCACGGTATT